CCCAGTCCCTCCCAGTGCACCCCCAGTCCATCCCAGTCCCTCCCAGTGCACTCCCAGTGCACCCCCAGTCCCTCCCAGTCCCTCCCAGTGCACCCCCAGTCCCTCCCAGTGCACCCCCAGTCCATCCCAGTCCCTCCCAGTGCTCCCAGTCCCGCACCCACCAGGCAGGGGGGGTGTGCGAAGCCGTACAGGGCGGGGAGGGGGTCGGTGCTGGGGACCCCCCCCAGGTGCAGCCCCGCCAGGAACCTGCGGGGGGCGCCCCCCGCCCCCCCCTCGGGCGCCTCCCGCACCAGCACGAAATCGGGGCGCACCCTCCTGTGGGGGAGGGGCGGTCAGGGAGAGGGGGGGGGGGTCCCCAAAACCCCCCGGACCCCCCCAAAATCCTCCCCTAAAAAACCCCAGCCAAAAATGAGATTTTTTTTTTTTTTTTACCCCCTGAAATTTCCGTTTTTCACCTCAAATTCCCAAGGGAAAAGCCCCTCCCCCACCCCCACCCCAAAATTCGCCCCGAACCCCGAGATTTGTTTTTGTACCCCCGAAACGTGAGCTGGGCCCTGCTGAGACTGCTCCAAACAGCCCCAAAATCTCCTCAAACACCCCCAAATCTTCCTTTGAAGGCCCAAACTCACACCCGGAACCCAAAATTCCACCCAAAAATCGAGGAGAGGACCCCAAATTCTGACCCAAAACGGAGGGGGGACCCCAAATTCTGACCCAAAAGAGAGGAGAGGATCCCAAAATTGAGCAGGAGACCCCAAACTCACCCCCAAAAGGGAGGGAAGACCCCAAATTCAGCCCCAAAAGGGAGGGGGGACCCCAAATTCAGCCCCAAAAGGGAGGGGGGACCCCAAATTAAGCCCCAAAAGGGAGGGGGGACCCCAAATTCAGCCCCAAAAGGGAGGGGGGACCCCAAATTCAGCCCCAAAAGGGAGGGGGGACCCCAAATTCAGCCCCAAAAGGGAGGGGGGACCCCAAATCTCACCTGGTGCCCCCCCGGGCGGGGTCGATGGTGACGCTGAGGGCGCCGTGGGTGGAGGCGGCCAAGGAGAGCTCCGAGAACTGAGCCTGGGGGACCCCAAAATCCAGGGACACCCCAAAAAAAAAAAAAACCTCCTGGGGACCCCCAAAAACCTCCCTGGGATCCCAAAATCCCACCCCAAACCCGACTGGAGCCTCAAATTTGGTTCAAAAAAGAGATTTTTCAGTCAAAATTGCCACCGGGGAGGGCTCCGAATCTCCCCTGGGGACCCTGAAATCGAGGGGGGTCCCCCCAAAATTTCGCTTTTTCCTCCCCAAAAAATTCCATCCTGAGCCCCCAAATGGGATGGAGGAATTGGGGGAGGGGATTTAGGAATTCAGGCCCCAAAATCTCCAGGGGAACCCAAAAAAATCTTTGAACTGAGACAAGGAAAGATTTCGGGGCACCCCAAAAATCCCCTCGAGGGACCCCAAATCCCCCCTAAACTCGAATCCCAAACCTGGGGAGGAACGGGGGGTTCCGAGCACCCCAAAATTTAAGGCCAGGCCCCCAAAATTCCGAGGGAAATCCCGATCCAAAATCTCCAAAATCTCCCCGAAAAATCCCAACCCGGGGACCCCAAAACATTGAAAAACCCCAAAATTTTAAGGGGTGACCCCAAAACCGGAGCATCAGAGCCTGGGGGGGGGGACCCCAAACTATCGAGAGACCCCAAATTTTTGGGGGGGAGGGGCAAAATGGAAGAGGGAAGGTCCCAAATTTTTAATTTTTTAAATTTTGTTTTAAATTTTTGGGGGTCCTAAAATGAAATTAAAAAAGGTGGGGAGGGGTCCCCAAAACTCACCTGCTCCACCCTGAGCTCCACGTCCCCGTGCACGGATTTGCCCTTGAAGGGTTTCACCCTGAGGTGGGGAGGGGGAACCCCAAAATTGGAGAGACCCCTCCCCGAAATCCTCCCCCCTCCCCCCACCCCACACGGAAACTCCAAAGGGGACCCCAAAAATCGGATGTGAGACCCCTCCCCCACCCCGAAACTGCCCCTCCCCGGGAGATTTGGGGGGGTCTCGGGGTGGGGGGAATTTGGGGAGGGGTCCCCAGCACTGGGAATTTGGGGTGGGGGGGTCCTGTGAGGGACCCGGGGGGGGTCTCGGGGTGGGGGGAATTTGGGGAGGGGTCCCAGGGGGTCCCACACGTACCAGTCGGTGCTGGGGGGGGCGATCACGAGCAGCAGCGGGGCCGTGGGGGGGGTCCGGGGGGGTCTCCCCGCCCCTCCCCCCGCGGGGGGGTCCCCGCCCATCCCCCCCGCCAGGAAATTCCCGTCCGAGAGGCGGCGCCGCAGGAATTCCATCCCCTATGGATCCGCCGGGGGGGCCGGGGGGGCTTCAGGGGGGCATCCTATAGGGGCTGGGGGGAGGGGAGCGCTGCCCTATAGGGGCTGGGGGGGGGGGGGGA